TTCACATCAGGTTCCATGGCTGCGAGGAGCCAAGACATCACCATACTGTTTTCTTGGTCCCACCTATCATGTTTAGTTGTCTCACCCTTGGGTTCTTTCACCCTTCCATTTATGTAACCAGCTTTACCCCTTGCCGTTACATAGAGTTTTACGCTTTTAGCCCACTCTAAGTAGTTCAGACCATTTAAAGGGGTAATTGGCATGGGAAACATCATGTTTTCACCTCCCATACCAGCTGTGTTGCGGGTCGGTATAACCCCCGATGAAGTTGATTCATAATTGCCATAGAATACTGCTGAAAACAATCCAAAACCCACACAACTACACAACAGCCACAAGCAGAATACCAACCCTCAAAGAATTTACTTCTAGTATGTGAGGAAGAGAGCAAGACACTACTGAAATCAACTCTGAGATGGTTCAGTCATTAAACCAGCCCGGTAATCAGTCCAACACAGCCAAGGCAGACATTACTATCAGTCCAACTACACCTCATACATTCTAACAATCTAGCATCCAAACAAATATATAGAACCAAGGAATAAGCCCTTCACACCATTGGCCAAAAAAGACAAAAAACAAGAACACACCTGTCCAACACCTGTACCAAGGTGCCAACCAGAAATCGACTTGACAGCATCGAATAGAGAAGGAAGGGAGTCTCTATCAGCACTACCCTTCTTCGGCTAGGGTTTCCTTGATATTACGACCAAGGAAAAAAAAATACAGGAGGTGCCGCTAGTAATCTGCTAGGGTTTCTCTGTCTTCCACGTCCAAGAATTTAAAGGAAGAAAGGGTGAAGCAGGTTCAATACAGGAGGTGTCGAAAATTACAGCCCAAAAAGCTTGCTCTGATACCATGTAATCATTCATGGAGAGTGGGAGATGAGAGAGAGAGAGAGAGAGAAAGAGAAGAAAGGGAGATACGATTGAGAGGAAAGAAAAGTTCCTCCTGGCTGCCGCCAGTTCTCTATTTATATTAACTTAATAAAAAAAATAATAGAAATTACAATTATGCCCCTGGCAGCACACCCTAGAACCAAACTAATAAGAAAAAAGAAAAAGTAACTAACTGACAGTATCTTAAGGAGTCAGCCTACTGACAGCAATTATAAAGTAACAATTACATAAGCCTTACAACAGCTATTATGGGAGGAAATCTGTGTGCATTTCCTCTTTGGTAATCCCCTTCATAGGACAAATCGTTTAGAACTAAAACAATGGGGCTGCTGACCAATTTTTCGACTCTCAGCCCTTTCACATACATTTCGATTTTAGTGGCTGAAGAATCCATCAAAGATGTACAAAAATCTGTATGATATGCTTAGGATTAGAAGTTCCAAGAAATTTTTGTCGATCCATTGTTTGTCCTTCCGACATGATGGTATGACCTCAATGACCATCGTCCTAGCAGCTCCACCCACTACGTCAAGGCCATATTGATTTCCCTATTTATTGGAAGTTGGAACAAAGTTTGGGAATTTGTGGCCACTTGTTAAATTTTCCATGCTGCCAGCAAAATAAATGTGTAATAGTGCATCTAGTAGGCTTACATCAACTTTATAGTCATATTGCTATTATGGGAAGAAATCTGTGTGCATTTCCTCTTTAGTCTTCCTCCTCATAGGGCAAATCGGCTAAATGGAAAACAATGGAGCTGCTCCACCCACGAACTCAGGGCCATATTGATTCCCCTATTTATTGGAAGTCCAAACAAAGTTTGGGAATTTGTGGCCACTTGCTAAACTTGCCATATTGCCAGCAAAAGAAATGTGGAATATTTGACAAAGTATTATTGTGTATTTGATATTCACTCTATTTTGTCTCTAAGCATTACATATGTTTCTTTCTCTGTGCAGCAAAAAGATACAGGTCAATTTGACGGTCCTGCTGATTGTTCTTGAAGGATGTTCTAATTTTCCTTAAAACATCTGGTTTCAAATTCTCGCTTTTTGGGTATGTATTAATCTCATCGTTTATTTGTCTATCATGAGAACATGTTAGTCAATATTTGTTACTATTCAAAGAAGCCGGTTTGCAGATGACTTGTTAGGACACATCACGAATATATGATCATATCTAAGAGATGTCTACTGGTTTACAAGAGTGGGACTTTAGGATCTGAGAGGACCTACTTTAAATGTGTACTGATTTGAACCAATGGTCTGCCTCTACTGGAAAAGCAAAACCAATGTTCTTAGTATTAGATGTCTCAAGCAATGCAAGTGATTTGTATTTCTTGATTAAATTGAGGTCTGGAATGCAGACAAGGAGTAAATCTGGTCATTCCATTGCCTTCATATTTCCAGCCCTTGCTACCATGCTAGTGATGTAGACATTTTCTGCTTAGTCCATCGACCCCAACACGAGCTGGTATATTTCTCTTGGAGGCTGTGTCATTGCCAATTGGCAACTTGAGGTTTAGTGGCTCCATTTGAGGAATGAAAGTAGGGTCTGCTTTTGCTTGTTTATTTATATGCTTCTCTTGCACATTATGCTCGATCTTGTAGATGTGGCTGACTTTGGAATTTGCTGTGAATGCTTTTTTTTCAGGGTCATCTTCAAGAAAGATGGTGGTGCTGCCAGCATTAGTGAAGATAGAAGGAACTGCAGTCTTAAACTGAAGGCTAGGAGGTTGAAGGAAGCACCAAGGGAGATAAGGTTTGACATAAGGTGGAATAGCTTCTATGTGATGGTGGTAATGGCAGAGTTAGCAAAGTGTCGAGTGAGAGGAAGATACGAACTGGGGGTTGATTCTTGAGTTCTACACTCTTCTTTTCCTCTTTCTTCGCTCATATGGCGAATCAAATCGAATGCAGTTCAGTTGAAGACGCCGGTGGTTTCTTACTTGCTATATGGTCTGCCGTCCAACTTAGAACATGCCAACCCGCCCTTCTAGTGAAGCATTCACGTGGAAGTCGAAAAACAACCATCTTCGCAAGATTATCCAATCAAACCATCTTTGCAATGGTTGCTTTGGCTTTTAGTCGGGCTTTGCTTCATCACTCAGGGCTCAGGGGCAAGGTTCAAACTATCAGCACGTGAGATATGCAAAAATTGCGTATCTTGTTTTCGGAGGAGCGATACTCCCTGTTAAGAATGGTTCCATGAGTAAAGTTTCGAAACCATGGCAAGCACAAGGGGGCTAATTGTTGGTGAAGACCGTTTGAGCATTGCACTTTACCGGCCTGATTTTATCTTTTGATAAAGCACATACCCATCCTACTCTTAGTAAGGAGAACATCCTTTGATGCAACATCATTGTTTCATTCAGATTCATGAATAATGTTGAAATGAATTTATTTTAATTCCTCGTTTCATTTCGTCTTTTACCTTTTGGAGAGGTTAAGCTAGCAAAATCCAACTATGATACCGGAAAGTCATTATATCTAGACACCTGATAACCAAACAACTGGTATCATAAAAGTGGTCATCAATCAATCAGCTGTTATTCATCAAATCGACTATTGGGGGTTGGATATAAATTTGTTTATGTTTGGGGCCTTGGGCTAGAAAAATTGGGTCTTGACATCGGTTTTGGTCTAGGCCGAGGTCAATGCCTATGCGCTAGTCTTTAACCCAATCCAATCCATCTAATGTATAACCCCGTTTTGTTTATTTATTTATTGAGAAAATCTTTAATGTTAGAAATATGAGATAGGGAAATCAGAACTCTTGTGAATTATGCTGAAAATCCAACTCATTGGTTCCTACTTTTATAATGCCAGTCGATTGGTTGTAAGATATTTCAGATATCATGTCTTTTGTAGCATCATTTTTGAATCCTTAATTATTTGGTATTATAGGAAATTAAGGTGGCATTCGATAAATCTGAAAAGTGAAAAAGATATTAAAAGTGTTTGAAATTTGAAAAGAGACATAAATGCTTTTTGACTTTTTAGAGGCTCTGAATAGAGAAGGTTGTTTGTGTTGGATCAAAACCTTCAACATCCAAAATTCTCTAGTTTTACTATTTTACCCCTAAAACAGATTATTTGGTACTTTTGAGTTCAATTTTTACTATTTCATAAAAAATAATTTATTAAATTCAAAATAATATTAAAAAATGAATAAATTATAAAAAATAAGAATTTATTAAAATAAGAATAAAACTAAAAATACATATATATTTATAAATTAAAAATAAATTATTAAAAGTTAAAATAATAATGAAAATAGTAATAAAGTCCATGAAGCAATAAAAAATAGAAAAGCAATATCTTAAAACTGCCAAAATAATTAATACAAATAAAAATTATAATATATATATATGTAATTTATTAAAATCAAAATAAAATTGGAAAGTATGTATAGGAAGATAAGGGAGAGGGTATTAACCGCCATTGTTGAGACTTGCAGCAGTGGCGGTGGGAAGACAGGGGAGAGAGACCACAAGCGGCTCATCACGGAAGAAGTGCAAATTGATTTCCCTCTTTTCTTTGCATGGGATATGAACTCGACTGTAGAGGTCAAAGTCGAAAATGTCATTGAAGGGATATTGTCGTAACCAATTTGTGGTGCTTTTTCCATCACATCTCCAGGAGCATCATCGACATTCCTAAACTTCCCAACCGAGACAGACCTATGGATTTATGAAGCAGAGGATGTTGAGAACATTGAAGAAGAAGAAGAAGAAGGGAGGGGGGAGAGGGAGAAGCTTGTGTTGCTGGTTCGCCGTCGAGTGAAGAAGAAGAAGAAGAATAGAGAGAGAGAGAGAGAGAGAGAGAAGCTTGCACGGCTGCTTCGCCGTCAATGGAGAAGAGAGAGGGGGAGAGAGAGAGAAGGTCAGAGGGAGAATGAGGGGCATAACGAGTATAGGCATTTTTGTCTTTTAACGCGATCTGAAACACATTAGCGTTAAGGTGGCGTTTGATAAATCTGAAAATTCAGATCTTAAAAGTTAAAAAGATGTTAAATGTGTTTGAAATCTGAAAAGAGGTATAGTTGCTTTTCTACTTTTTAGAAGATCTATATCCATGAGTTTGTTTGTGTTGGATCAACCCTTTACCATCTAAAATTTATTGATTTTACTATTTTACCCCTAAAATATACAATTTGAAAATGTTGAATTCAATTTACATTATCTCATAAAAAATAATTTTCAACCTCAAAATAATATTGAAACAATATAAATAAAAAATAATAAATCAATATTACTAATTAATAAAAGAAACAATTAAAATTAAAAAAATAAATAATGATTATAAAAATATTAAAATAATTAATAATTTACACAAATAAATTAATGAAATAATTAAAAATTATTAGTTAATAAAAATAATTAATAATTAATAAATAATACAAGTAAATTTAATAAAAAATATTAAAATAATTAATACAAATATTTTATAATTAATAATTAATAAAAACATTATTATTATTCACCGAAGTATCGAACCACCACTGCTGCTTGTTGCAGCAGCAATGGTGGTGGTGGGAAGACAGGGGAGGGAGAGAGAGTGAGAGGGAGAGAGAGAGAAGACAGGGGGAGAGAGCGAGAGAGAGAGAGAGAAGACACCACTGGGGGAGAGAGAGAAGATAACGATGGTGGCAGTGGTGGGAATATAGGGGAGAGAGAGAGAGAGAGCAAGCGAGAAAAGACAAGGAAGGAGAGAGAGAGAGAGAGGGAGAGCGAGAGAAGACAAGAGGGGAGAGAGCCACCATTGCAAGTTGCAACGGCGATGGCGGGAATACAGGGGGCGAAGAGAGAGAGAGAGAGAGAGAGAGAGAGAGNNNNGAGAGAGAGAGAGAGAGAGAGAGAGAGAGAGAGAGAGAGAGAGGGAGAGAGAGAGAGAGAGGGAGGGAGGGAGGAGAGCCACTACTGCAACTTGCAGCAGCGATGGCGAGAATACAGGGCGAAGAGCGAGAGCAAGAGAGATTGAGTGTTTTGGTTTTCTGGGTTTGGGGTATCAAGGGTAACTCGGACCATTTATGAAAAATTGTAAGGATATTTTGGACATTGGGCCGACTTTGAAACACGTTTAAACGCATTAAAAAGAAGCCCAAGGTCTATGATTTTCAGATCTGAAAATTAGTTTCAGACCTAATTTAAGAGGTACAACCAAACAAGGGGTGAGGTCTAAAAAGTAGCATTTTCAGACTTAGACCTCTAAAAAGTGACCAAATGACACCTAAGTCACTGGTCCACCTCTTACAAATTCAGATCTAAAAATGCATTTCAAATCCTTTTTTCAAACTCAAACTAAACATAGGTGGCATCTGAAAAGCAACATTTTCAGATTTCATAAGTTTGAAAAGTGTTATAAAATGCTACCTAAGTGGCAAACATAGAATATGGTGCACATGAGGTCTATTGACTCAGCTTGCAGACGCAGTCATGCGCCTATTGGGTGATCATCGTTTATACAAGGGTCAACAGAGATTTAATAAGAAATAAAAGATTTAGGCCTTGTTTGTTTTAGATATTTATTGGGGGTAAGTTGGTCAGCCAGTAAGTTGACCACTTACCATCTTACCTGTGCTCAATTTTTGCTATACTAGGCCCCATGCTACCTAAGGGTATTAGTTCTTGTGACATGCTTGCTAATCGAAGTCCGTAGGTGCTCTCTCCCTCTCTCCCTCTCTCCCTCTCTCATCTCTCATCTCTCTCTTTAGCCCTTTAGCCGGATAAATGTATAGCATCAAAAACGTTGGAAGCAAAGCATGCTTACGAAGGCAAGTTTTATTTGGGAAACAGTTGCCCAAATAAACATATTTATGCAAGTAAATAAAAATGAATATGAGAGCTTGAATAAGAAAGAATGTTAGAGGTTCATATGAAATATATGGTGAGGGTACCCTTAGCCTCCTTCTACCCATCATTCTAATATAAATATAAAGATAATAGATTTAATCATCACAAAATTTATCCTCACAACAATTGCAGTGAAGATCTCGGTACATATATTTTCATTAAGGCTGCCATTGGTTTGAAAGAAAAGCTGAAAAGGTAGAAAAAGGAATGAAAAGTCAAAACAAGAAATTCAGGAAGGTTTTGATTGGATAAACGCAAAACAAGAAAGCAATTATGATTAGGGCCCCATTCATCGAGTCCGTGTTCTGTGAACCCGTGGGCTCACGGAACAAATGAACCTGCCAATGAGAGACGACCACGTCGTCTTTGCAACGATGGGCTAACGTTAACGGACAAGTGGACGTTAATTGGAGTGTGCGGTTGAACCAAACACAAAACGACAAAAGCTAAATTGAAACCCCTCTCAGTTCCTCTCATTTTCTCTTTTCTCCTCTACTGAACCCTCCTACCCCACACATCGGCGAGCACACCACACCGGCCATCGTCGGTACGTTGTCTAGCATCCTCGTAAAAAGGTGTTCCTTGTTTCTGTTTTCAATAGATCAACGACAAGACTCAGATCAGACCTTATTGTCAAAATAGCCAAAAGAAAGCCTACCGGTATTGACCCACCTCCGTTCGCTTGGAGAATCCCGCTGGTGTAAGGCTTCGCTCTGTTGAAAAGAGAAAATAGGAAAGCCTTTGTTTTGTAAGAAGAAGAAGAAGAGGAGGAGGAGGCCAGAAAATGTATCGCTAGAGTTCTCGCCGCCGATGGCTGCTGGTTTGGGTCACCGCACCGGTGTGTGGGTAGGGTTCGGTGGAGGAACGTGGACCAGGAGTTTTTCATTTGTTTTTTGTCTTTTTGTGTCTGGTTGAACCGGCCATCCCATGTTAACGGTCAAAGGCCACCGATGCATGCATCTACTGAACCCACTGGTGCACAGAACGTGGACTCCCACTCACCTCAACCGTGTCTTCTGTCCACTGATGGTGTGAAGGAAAAAAAAAATAAAGGTTTTGTTGATCCAATGAAAAATGCATGGAGTATTGACAAAGGGGTTGTTGATCCAAGCACCCAGTATGCTAATGCTAACCTGTTCACGTCACCACCAGAAACAATGGTCGTCCTTTCTTGTTCTCTGCAATGGTGAGACAAAGGGGTTATTGACGTAACAAAAAACAGAATGAAAAAAATAGATAATAAAAAAATAAAAGCTAACCAGATAGTATTATGAAAATGGTTGTGCTTTTCATGTGCTCTGCAATGGTGATGGGGAGGAGTAAGTTCAATCTCCCTCTTCTCTTTGCTTTTTGATTTTGAGAAAAAACTCAAACCCTAATAGATGTAAGCCGTAAAATTTGAAAATAATTGGAATTATTCAAATTAGATCTGACGTTAGACAAACATCGTACCAATTGTCTCTCATTTAAACGTTGGGACAAGCAACTCTAACGTGGATTAATAGTTCCAGCTGGTCCAATAAAAATCTTAGAACCGACGCTTTCGTGCGAAAGACAATTCTCCTGAAAGTCTTATTGTAGGGCAGAAATTATAGGTATAAGTCTTAGGAAAAACTTTTTCATGTTGAGAGAGTTTATGGGTTGGGCACATTACCATGTGAATGGGCAAATTAGTAATTCTCTTTTGATTTATTTTGAATAAAAACTAAAGCATGACCGTGAATGAGTGTGCATACGCAACCCAGAAACTCTCTTAAAGTTAATCCGCAAGTCTTTGTTGTTTGGGTTAAATTCGGCCTTCGTACTTACAACAAATTAAGAAAGAAGGCAGTTGAATGAATTGACGTAGAAATCCACGAAATTAATAATCAAAGAAAGAAGAGAAGGAATAATAAGAAGTGGTATAAGTCTCACGAAATTAATAATCAGCCTTGACAAGTGGCCTGAGGTTGAAGGTTTAACTATTAATATTTTGTCATGCTAGTAGGTGCTACAATTTGAGTTAAAAAAGCTTTCTTTTTAATGCATTGCTATCATATGATCCATTTTACTTATGTCATATTTTCTGCTAAGCATGTGCCTACAAATTTCACTACCATTTTAATCCTTTCTCCACTAGAGTTTTCAATCTACAAACTTGGAGCCTTCAAACATAACATTAGGCTTTTCAGCACTAGATCTAGATTAAGTTGAAGGCTCTTAATATATACTTAGGAATACAGTAATCAAGCTAATATGCATTCAGCCATTAATTAATAAGTGGCTCATCTGCAATAAGTTATTCAGTTCAGCTACCTGCCCCTTTAACGTACACAAAGGGTGACGCACCGCTCCGGCATCACAGAACACTTGCAAATCCCAAACTAGACGTTTCTTTGCTTTGGTTAGGATGTTAAGCTTTTTGTTCATTGACAATTTTACTTCAAGAAGCGGTAAATAAGTAGACAATCTTGTTTGAGCATTTCAGTACACATCTTGGTTATGCAGAAGCCTCATTTTCGTGGGGTCATCATCGATCAACCCAAAAATTAGAAACACATATTCAGTAATCCTGTTTACAGCTTTGAAGCATATCATCATGAACCCATGATCCATGATCGTTAGGATTTGATTTCTAATAATTTATTAGGAAGTGTTTGGTAGTGTGATTTTTATATGGTGTGGGGTTTTTGGGGAATTCAAATGTATTATTGAATATGGAGGAAATAATGCATGAAAATTGGTTTAAAAGGAATACATTTTATATGCATTATATACCCAAATAAGATCTTGCACCAAAGACCTACTGACCTTATACACCGCTTTGTCTTAAACAAAGTAAAATTATCACTAGCTCAGTGGCACTTGTACATACCATGCTCACTTTTATTAATTAACAAGTTACCCATGATCGTTATTCCAACACTTTCTGGTCTACCCCATGCTCCTGTAACACTTTCCTACAAAAGCCATGTTCAAAATCAGCTATGCCCATATTCATGCAAAATTAGTATGCTATCAAAAAGATTCACATTAGACAAGCATTTGCTATCAAAAGCCGAAGAATCGATATGGGCATAAAGAAAATGGATTAGTGACAAGAATAATGGTGGCGGTTCATGGTTGCAGAAACACTCTCACCCATGAGACAGGCAGTGGTTGGGATTTGGAAAGAGAGCAACTTGAAGGGGGTGAAATAGGGGAGAGAGATTTGAGAGTGGGATTCTTATGTATAAAAATGATAGTAAGTATAAAATTATCCAAATAATTATAAAAGGGCAGTTTGGAGATTTACAACTCTTGTAATAGTGAAATGAAAATCTTTTTCGCTGATAACTGACGGAACGCTAACGGAGGAGGTCTTTGTCTCACGGCTAAAGATCATTCCTGATGGATCTTTGTAATTCACCCTTTGATTTTTCGTTGCTACCTTCGAGGAAACTCGAAAATCTAGGGTTTGGAAGTTCAACATGTGCGGTTGTGTTCGTCTTGCGTGTTTGGGCATTGAAACTCGAAGATTAGGGTTAGTAAGATGTAACTCTAAGCTGACAATTTATACACCGGATCCGTCAGGAATGATCAGTTACAGGTTTTGTACAAAACCTTCAAATGGCTGTAATCCAGTTCTAGCAGCTTACAGAAATGGTGGGTTTCAGTTTACAGGAAACCGTTTTGTACAAAATGGGTGCGAAATAGGTGGTTCGAGATCAATGAATTCTGTAAAGATGAACAAGTCGGATGTGTTAGGACCGGAAAACTATGATCTTTTTGATGAATTCGGGTTCAAGGAGAAAGATAAAAGAAATTATGAGTTTGAGACACGACATAAAGGTGGAGAAGAAAAGTGTGCGTCTCTCAACTGGGCAAAGGAAAAAGGAATTGGTTTCAATAAGGAGGAAAGAGTACAAAATGACAATAACAGTGCATCTGTCTCTTCGGATTTTGATTTCCTTGAGACGAAGACTGATTTGAAAAATGAGAATAGAAGTACCACGACTTTGGGGAACGAGGATTTGACTCAAATTGAAGGCTCGAGTAGGGCTGGTTCGGCGGAGGATCTCGAGCAGTCTATCGAAAAGTCGGGTTTGAAAGGTGGAAGAAGACAAGTAATAAAGAGATCGAGCATGCTAGCAAAGCAAGTGATTAGCGTGCAGTCTGCTCTTAGCTTGGGCTTTGTCTCGCAACTTTGGGTTGACACCAACTCAGTAAGTTCTGGGATCCTTTCTTTCCCCACGTTATTTTAGTTTCTCACTTGAAAGAATCTAGTACACCACTGACGTTCTTTTTAGAAGATCGAATGGTTTTATTCAAAAATACTTGGCTAGTATAATCGAGTCAATAAACAGGACTCGATTTTAGAATTGAATACTACCTCTTTTTTTATGGATAAAGTAGCATTGAGTGGTACTTGATAACTCTACTAATTAATTACACTGAGTACTTGAGAATTGGATAGGATAGACTGCAAACTAAGACTCCTTTCCTCCTTCCCTCCATCCTTTCTTTTCCTCTCTCAACATCCTAGGGAACAATCAAGCCTTTAACCACATATTTTAGATCTTCAGAACCGTGGTTATATTTCGTGTTGTCAACCATCACTTAGTTTGAGATTGGATTATATCGTTTTATTAAATAGAACGGATTGAATTTTGGATCTAAATGGAGTAGCTGGATGAAGGTTTGTACCAACACCCGTTATTTTTCTGTCTTGGTGATTGATGTTTCTTGTGGGTGTTTTAAGAGCACAAGTGTTCTGAGGCAAGGGGATCCACTTTCCCCTTTTTTGTTTATATGTGTGACAGAAGCTTTGAACAGAATGATGAAAAGGGCCACTTCAGGGATTTTGTAGAAGGCTTTGCAGTGGGGGATGAAACAGAGAGGTTTCCTTGCTGCAATTTGCTGTTTGCTGATGATACACTTATATCTTGTGATGCTTCTCTTGAGCAGCTTAACTATGTAATGGCTGTACTTAGCAGTTTGAGGTTGTGTCAGGTTTACACATAACTAAGTACAAAAGTGAGCTGGTCACGGTCGGGGAAGTGCAAAACTTACAAAGTTGGGCAGATAAGTGGGAGTGCAGAACAGGAAGTTTGCCTCTGGAATATCTGGGGATGCCATTGGGTGTAAAATGCAACTCCAAAGCAGTGTGGGAACCCATTGTGGGAGAGAATTGATAAGAGGCTGGCCTCTTGGAATGCCAAATATCTCTCTTATGGAGGAAAAGTTACTTTACTAAAAGACTGTACTGTCTTCTCTACCTATGTACCTGCTATCTTTACATCCAATTTCAGCTGGAATGATACATGTAATGGAAAAGAAAATGAGAGATTTTTTATGGGGAGGATGGAAGGATGAGAAGAAATACAACTTGGTTGGTTGGGAAAAGGTATGTAAATCTAAACTTCAAGGAGGATTGGGTGTATGGAGAGTGAAGGATGTTAACACAGCCCTTCTGGGAAAGTAGTTTTGGAGGTTTGGTGAGAGCCAAAGAGGCTTATGCAAAAGGATGGTAATTTCCAAATATGGACAGAGTCCTTTGGGATGGGAGCCAAGGGTGCCTAATCAATCTTATGGGTGCTTTGCTTGGAGGGAAATTAAGGAAAGTCTATGATCTATTCATAAAGGGAGTAAGGTTCAAGATTGGAGATGGCCAACATGTAAAATTCTGGAAGGACTCTTGGTGTGAAGGCAGACCTTTGAAAGAAACTTTCCCTATCTTGTTTGAGTTGGCGCTGGACAAAGAAGCTTGGGTGGAAGATTGCCTGCAGGTATAGAATGGGATTGTGGTATGAAATCCTCAATGTAGAAGAAACCTAAATGATTGGGAGGTTGAGGCAATGGTGCAAATGCTACACAAATTATATAGCACACAAGTGGAGGTAGGGAGCAATGATAGAAGGATGTGGGAGTGGGAGAAATCTGGAGCTGTGGTTTGCAATATCGATGATATTTGGAAAAATATCCTTGATATATCCCATTTTGCTAAGTAGCGATTTGAAATTTTCTGGGGATCTTTTTTTTCTCTAAATGTCTCTGATATTTTGCTGATATGTCATCGGTATTTCAGATTTTGTTGATAGACTACGTAAGGTTTAAAACTTTAGAATATTATAATTTTTTTGATATTTTATTACAATCATCATAATTTTTTAAAAGTGTTTTCCTAAAAGAACCAATGGAGAATTCATGACTGGATAATTGGCTTACTATTTTCATACGATTCACTTACTAAGTCACTATAATTCAAAAGAAGTTGAAAAATGCATATAACTACAAAGAGTGTTCTCAATCTAATCAAAACATATAGTAACAAAAAAGACAAAAGAAGATGGTTAAAAGGCAAAAAGGGAGATAGAGAAAGGTACCTATTAAAGTCTTTTAATTTTTTCCTATTTGATTTATACATTCTTTCCTATGGTTTTTTGAGCCTTAAATGTGCATTATATTTTTTCTATTGATTCTTTAAAGGTTTATTAACCAATGTCATGTTTCTATAAAACTTTCTTGATATTTAAGATTTTCCTAATATCTTAGCAAAATTAGCAAATATCTCAAATATTTCCATCTCTACATGGCGAAACGCCTATAGATATCGAAATTATCAACCAGGTCTGGATCAGGCCATTCCGGTAAATATTGTTTGGTGTAATAATGCCCCTTCAAAGGTAGCTTCCTTTGTTTGAACTACCTATCTAAACATAATTTTGACCAGGGATAACTTGATCAGGAAGGGTATGCATCTGGAGTCCACTAGTTGCGTTTTATGTGAGGGGCAGGTTGACTCAGTTAGCCATCTGATGTTACATTGTAGATTTTCCCATGAGACTTGGTCAAAGATATGGAAATTATTTGAGGTGAAAACTTGTATTCCAGAATTGGTGGTGGATTTCATACAAAGCTGGAGAGTTGAAGGTCTAACTAAGAGGGGGAAGGTGGTGTGGAACATTGCTCCTGCAGCAGTTTCTTGGTGTATGGAAGGAGAAATGCAAGAATTTTCATAAACAAGAGCAGCTCAGTAGACACAGTATACCAGAAAATCTTGGGGAAATTGTTTTCTTGGCTTGCTACTAACAAACTATTCAGGGAGAGATTTTAATTTCTTTTTTGTATATGATAATCTTTTTGTAAGGCAGGGTATGGGGTTTTAGGATTATATGTGTATTGATTGTTTATACCCCTGTATACAGCAACTTGTTGTACATGTTTTTTGTCTTTTGTTAATGAAAAATATACTTCACCTTTTCTCAAAAAAAAAAAAAAAAGAAATAGAACGGAATGGCAAAATAGGATTAATGTAACCTGACCCCATATTGTTGGAATAAGGCTTGGATGATGATGGTAATGAAATATGGACTTCATTAATTAGAGAAGAAACACAATACACATCCCTGTTACTGTTAATGGAGTCTGGTATCCTCAATTTAAAGTTGTGCAGTTCCAGTTGTCAAGCCATTTCCAATAACGTTTCAGCGAAGTTTGTTATAGGTCTGGATTTTTTATTATTCTTATTTAATTTTTATTCTTTTAACCCACACAATTCATTTGTATTGGATTTCTTATTTTTTAATCTTTATGTTCATTTATATTACTGGCATTCTCATAACTTATTCTCTAGTGCTGTTTAGTAATGTTCTTTTGCATAACATTATTAATTTTGTGAAATTTGGTCCAGTGGGAAGTACTTGTCATAGAAGTTCGGCCAAGCTTGCTTTCTGGGGAAACAGAAAGGTTTCTTCTGGATGATGTCTTCCGGGTATGTCTAACTTTCCTCTATGTGTATATAACCAATAAAAGTATGTTATATGGGAGCAAGATTGGATGTATGTATGAGAAAATGTATTTCTTTGAAAAACCATGTATAATCTGAAGAACAGATAATCTCTTTTTAGGGCATCCATTACATAGGCATGGAGGTGGCAAAAAAAAAGTTTTGAATTCTAGTAATTATTTGTATTCAGAAATGGAATTTTTGTTTGACTTGTTTATATAGGCATTGTAATTGGGACCTACTAATTTTGTAGTAGTTCTTACCTGGGGAATCTCCTGCATCAAAATCAGAGAGGCTGTTTTGCAATTCTTTTTAAGTAGATCTTTCGACAGCCCAGCAGGCCAAAAGACTGAGCTTTTTGGAGCTTACCTTTAAAGACCAAGGCTGTTTGGTAAGTATCTTGGTCTATTGGGCTGTTAAAAATGAAGTAGAAGGGTATTTTAGGCACAGAAAGATCAAAGTTTTCACTTGAAGCTTCCCAATTTTCGGTCATTTTGGGCTTTCACGAACTTTGTGGGGAGTGGATCTTACCAGATTTCCGTCTTTTTGCAAACAGAAAAGACCAAATTTTGGTCCTCTGGGCTTTGAAAAGCCTGAAAGACCCTATAGGAAACTTGACAAATGCCCTCATCAATGGATAATTGCAAGTTTGCAATGGCTAATTATTGTGATGTTCTGTTTGTAATTTATAGCTATAGTTCTAGGGGGCCATAGCTTGGTGCAATTGTAAAATGTTGGCTGACAAGCACAAGAAACTTATGGGCGAGTATGATTTAACAGCAACTTTTTGCTGCAAATGCTGTAGGTTAGGTCTTTATCCAGTGCCCCCCCCCCTCTCTCTCTCTCTCCCAAGACTATGGATAGCTAGGACCAGCATTGGGTAATGGCATTTAGCTGACATCTATTGTTCTGAAACTGTAGATATACCTATAGCCAAAGGCTGTATTAATAATTTAATTTTGTCCTGCTGTAAAATTCTCTACATTATTACTTGCTTATCTATTGTGTTCATCAAATTCTATCTATTTTAACAGGTTGGGGATGTTGTGCTTGTACAAGACGAGTGCATACTGGAGAATCAGCTTAAAATGATTGGACTGGATACTTTGGTATGGCATTCTTCTTTTACTGCCTATAACATCAGACTGTAAATGTAAACTGCAAGTCTGCAATATGCAAAATGGAAGATTGGGATACAAAAATGCACTTGGTAAATAGAAATTCAACATATGACTAGCCTTGTCAAGGAGAGAGGGCCGGGGGGGGGGGACTTAATGCTTAACAAGTTATGTGTTTATAGCCATTTGATATGTCAACTCATTATACACACACAACTTACCCATGTACATTGAGAGACTGTACAGTAGGGATATACAAGACTAGACAAAAAGTATGGCTAAATTAACAGAAATCCAATTTATCAAAAAATAAAAAATAAAATAACAGAGATCCAGCATAAAGAGAAGAATTTGACTAGACTCCCTTGAAAGTTTTTTGTATACTTAACCATGAACATAATAACCCTTTTAACTTGCTTCTTTTTACATCTATGTCTGTGTGTTTGTTCTAGAAAATACACATTCCTTTCCTAACAAACTACCCAAATAATAGCAGCAGGTAAAATACCCCATATGACCTTCCTTCTTCTGCTTAACCCCTGCAGGCTCCATCCTTTAATTAATTCCAAAATTGGTTCCAGTAAACAGAATTGAACCCCAAAGCATTGCAAGGCTAGGCTCCATAAGTGGAAAGAAAAACCACTATGTATTAAGAGGTGATTTTATGATTCTGAGCGTTCATTGCATAATGGACAGATATCACTATTCACTATCATTCCTCTTCTGATCAGATTGACTTTGACAAGTGAGGCCATCCACCCTAAAAAAGCCACCTTAGATGGGATAAAGGGATTCCATACTTGATCCCAAGGAAAACAGTTTGGCTGCTCTGAAGTAAGATTTTAACAATGAAATTGTTAGTGTTCGGTCTGCCTGTTAGACTGATAACAATCAAGGAAGAGAGAGAGAAGAGAGAAGGAGAGAAAGAGAGAAAGGAGAAGAGCAGAAGAGAAACAAGGAGGGAAGATTCTGGTTCGAATGAGAGAAAAGCACTCTCCCATTCGGCCAGATGTATTTTATATTACTAAAATAATGTGGAAAAGTCGCATTTGTCCCTACTTAAGTTAGGGACATTAAATCTAACATAAACTTACACATCAGCACCTAAACACAAGCACAAAGACAGAAACACCCCTACATACTCGACACTAACACTCTCCCTCAAGCTGGAGAGTATATATCATATAATCCCAGCTTGTTACATATGTAGTCCACTCTCCCCCGGCTCAACCCTTTAGTAAACAAATATGCCCACTGGTTCCCTGTGTTCACATATGCAGTGTCTATCACTCCACTCAGCACCTTCTCTCTAACAAAGTGACAATCAACCTCTATGTGTTTGGTTCTCTCATGAAACACCGGATTAGAGGAAATGTGAACTGTAGCCTGATTGTCACAGTAGAGCTTTATTGGAGTATCAACAGTGTATCCCATCTCCTGTAGAAGGTTCCTTAGCCACACTAATTCACAAGTAGTATGTGACATAGCTCCATATTTTGCCTCTACACTGCTTCTTGCCACAACTGTCTGCTTCTTGCTTTTCCATGTCACCAGATTACCCCTAAGAAAAGTGCAATAGCCTGTGGTAGATCTCCTATCAGATACAAAACCGGCCCAATCAACATTAGTATATCCTTCTATTTCAAGTTTTCCACCACTTCTGTATATCAAACCGCGACCAGGATCCCCCTTTAGATACCTCACAATCCTTATAACCGCATCCCAATGTGGAACCAGAGGTTTCTGCATGAACTGACTTACTACACTAACTGCGAATGAAATGTCTGGCCAAGTGATGGTTAGGTAGTTCAGTTTACCTATCAATCGCCAGTATCTACCAAGGTCTTCAAACACTTCACCCATATCATTGCTTAGCTTAGTGTTTGTTTCCATAGGAGTTTCAGCTGGTTTAGCACCTAACAACCCTGTTTCTTCAAGCAAATCARGAACATATTTCCTCTGACACAAGTTAATACCATGCTTGGACATGCTACTTCTATCCCCAAGAAATATTTCAATTTACCAAGGCCCTTTGTCTGAAAATGTTCCTGCAGAAAGATCTTCAACCTGTCCCATTTTATCATTCCCGGTAATGACAATATCATCTACATACACCACTAATAGGATCTTCCTTGCTTGAGAGTCATGACTGAAGACGGAATGGTCAACTTGGCACTGTTTCATACCAAACTTCTTTACTACCTCACTAAATCTGCCAAACCATGCTCGAGGAGACTGTTTAAGCCCATAATGGCCTTCAGTAGTTGGCACACCTTACCATCCTCCCCCTGAGCAATAAACCTTGGTGGTTGCTCCATATAGACCTCCTCGAGTAGATCACCATGCAAGAAGGCATTCTTGATATCAAGCTGATAGAGGGGCCAATCATACATCGCAGCAAGAGAAATCACAACACGGGTTGAACCAATCTTAGCAACCAGGGAGAAAGTCTCTGTGTAATCAATACCATAGGTTAGGGAATACCCTTTGGCAACCAATCTAGCTTTCAGCCGCTCTACACTACCATCAGGTAAATACTTAACCGTATAAACCCACTTACAGCCAACAGCCTGTTTACCAAGAGGAAGAGTGGTGAGTTCCCATGTATGATTATGAGCCAGAGCTGAGAGTTCTTCCATCGCACGACACCATCCTGGAGAGGCAAGGGCTTTCTGGACATCCTTAGGTATAACAACAGAGGATAACAAAGAGATAAACTGGTGATGGGAAGTCGAAAAGTAAGTCAGTGAAACATAATTAGAAATAGGATGAAGGTACAACTGCGCTTACCTTTCCGCAAGGCAATGGGAAGATCAAGATCAGATACTGGGGTTGGGGCTGGTGTGATAACAGCTACTGGATCTGTTGACGATGATGAAGCTGGAGGAGGAGCCGGTACACGTGGGCGATGTATATACATGTGATGGATTGGTGGTCGTTCAACAGGTGGTGGCACTAGAGGCAAAGACTTGGTCACTGCGGGAACAAGGGGAACAGAGTCCACAACTAGAAGAGGAAGGGGAGGAGGTGATGAGGAGGAAGAGACATCACTGGACCCCAAGAAGAATGAAGTAGACTCAAAGAAAGTAACATTAGCACATACAAAGGAACGTCAAGAGCTAGGGTGATAACACTTATACCCTTTCTGAGTCCGAAAATAGCCAAGGAAGATGCACTTAATAGACCGTGCATCTAACTTGTCCATTCCTGTCTGAAGCTACTGTCACTAGTCACGACATGATTGGCCCAAGTTGAAGGTGGACCATGCAAGTCATAGCACTAATTAATGGTATGCCCATCCATACCACAATGCGTATACCTCCTTGGACCCGAACTATGTCCTCTGCCACAGGCTCCCCCTGAATCTCGACCTCCAGTACGACCACCACCACGGTTATATGTAGGTCCACTACCACCACTCCGGCCATATGCCGGTCCACTACTACCACTACGGCTAGACTGAGCTCCCCAAGCTCCACCTCTAACACCACAACCTCTGGATACTGCTAGGGCTGATCTATCGAAAATATTAGGGTTCTCGGTAGACCTGTTCATGGGCCGGCCGGGCCGGGCTCGGGCCGGGCTTTCACTTGTCACTAATGAAAATATACTAGGCCCGAGCCCAACCAACGGGCCTATAACTTGGGCCCGAGCCCGGCCCTGGTAAAAAGCCCGAAACCCGAGCCCGAGCCCGAAGCCCGACCTAATTGAAAAAAAAAGAAACAATTTTCCCTATTCAAATTAGAATTAAAAATTCAGATAGTATTTTTTTTTTCTATTTAAATGAACAATGGGCCTACAAGATGGTATTTTTCCGTTTCTTTTATATTTTAAAACACAATTTTACATTCTTAAATCAAAAAATTTATTCAAATGGACATAATCACATAACTAATTTTAAGTTTAATATTAGGTCAGGCCGGGCCGGGCTCGGGTCGGACTATTTTGACAAAACCCGAGCCCGGCTCGAATTTATTGCGGGCCGGGCTTTTTGGCCCGACTTTAAGCCCGCGGGCCTATAAGCATGTTCAAGCCCGTTCGGGGGTTGGGCCGGGCCGGGCCGGCCCGTCGGGCCACCCGGCCCATGAACAGGTCTAGTTCTCGGTAGATCCAATGGAAATCCTCCTTAGTCGAGCAAACACCTCTTCTAAAGAAGGGAGAGCTGACCCTTCTAGTATCTAAGCCCGCACTGGTTCATATTCAGATTTCAGCCCCACCAAAAATCGAGTCACATCAAGTTGTTCTCTCTGTTGTTGCTGAATTTTGACATCAGAAGTGAGGGGGTAATAAACATTCAATTCATTACGAATGTTTCTCATACTAGCATGGTACTCCTCAAGACTCTGATTACCCTGTTGTAGAATAAAGTATTCCTGGTACAACTGATATACTCTGGTTGTGTTGTCTTGACCCGAATACAGCTTCTTATCATGGTACCACACTTCTTTGGCAGTATCAAGGAACATGAAATTTACACTAATCTTGGGTTTCATACTATTCCATAACCATGTGATGATCTGTGCATTTGCCTGCTCCCAATCATCATACTCATGAGAATTGGTGGAAGGTTTTTCGTCCCTTATGTGCTTCACCTTCTTCTTTGCCTTAAGAAAGACTTCTACAAATTTGGCCCAAGGTACATAATTTTCTCCATTCAGCTTAATGGAGGTCATTTGAACATTCAGGTAGTCAATAGGGACCATCACACTAGTCTTGCTATCATTGTTGTCTCCCATTGCTGAATTCGGCAAACTGCACACTAGATCACACTACACTGATTTCAGCACTTACTAGTGCTGCAAATTACACTCTTTACACCACAAACCTAACTCCACGACTGCCTGAAACTTCACCACACTGTTTGAGGAACACCCCCCCTTTGAATCACACTTAAGGGTGCGCAAACCCTAGCACACTACAATCTGAAATCCCACCATACAGTCTGAAATAGACTTCTCATTTGATTCACACCAAGAAAAAATGCATAAAAC